CTGTAAAATAAGAAAAGTTACCAGATATACATTAAGTGCATATTACAACCATAAAAGGTCAATCCATGATGAAGATAAAAAATTATAAACCTCATAAGACAGCATCAAAATACATGAAGCAGTATGGAGAGGCTGGTGGTTTTGAACTGCTGACTTTGTGGTTAACAGTCCAGTGCATAATCACTATGCCCGTAGACTCTCCCAATTAGACCCTGCCCCACGAATAGCCAAAACAATCCTGAGAAAGAAAACTAAGTGGAATCACTTACGAATTTCAAAACTTACTGACAAAATGATAGTAATCAAGTATTGGCACAGGGACCAATATATAGATCAATGGAATACAATCGATAATTCCGTAATAAGCGCAAATCTGGGGTCAACGGGTTTTCAACTAGGGTGCTAGCTAAGACTGCTCTGGGGAAAGCATAGTCTTAAATGGTGCTGGAACATCTGGACCTCAGAAAGCTGCCATCGAGTAATTTCACCTCCGAGAATGATTTCCACCTGTGTTCGAACTGCCCCTGTGAGTTCTGAGAGTGCAGCGTTGTGCAGGAGCAGAAAGCCTCGCCGAACAACGGGACAGCCACGTGTAGTGGCACCCTTCAGGACTGCAGCTTGCGGCTTGACGCGTTTCTTCAGTGTTCCCTTTCGGTTTTCTAACACAGGTGTGTGCACATTTCATTATAACGCTCTCAAGCTGCCCTTTGAAATCTCCTTGACTCTTGTGTCACCTTTTTTCCTTTCCTTTTATTCTATGTTCACAGTTTCTTCTGATGCCCACTTTAGTCTTTTCTTCTTGGTCTTTTTAATGGCTTTTTGGTTTCTTCGCTTTATGGTGTTTGAGGCTATCCCACCGTTCCCCACTTCTTCGGTCGTTACTGTTGAGTGTGTCAAGTCTGTTCTGGAGATGGCCTGTAAATTCAAGTAGGATGAACCTATAGGTGTCTTTTGGCACCTGTGGACTTGTTTTAATGTCTTCATCTTCAACTTGAACTTGCATGTAAGCAATGGCTTGTTGTGCAGTCACCCTCTGGCTTTGTTCTAACGAGATTGAGCTCCTCCATCATCTCTTTCTACAATTGAGGCTGATCTGATGCCTGTGTGTACCACCTGGGGAAGTCCACCTGAACAATCACCATATAGGTTGTGGTTCCACTGACCAGCAATTGTCAATATATCTGGATTGCATGTTTGAGCAATTTGAGCCTGCAACAGTTGATAAAAATCAACGTATTGATTAATGCAACAACATTCCTCTTCTAGTTTTCATTTCCGTCATAGTAGACCATATGATTGTCTGGTTCATGATTGTCAATTTGGCCGTTTCAGCTTGCTAAGGCCGAGGCTAGTGATCTTGATATGTTCCATTTCATTTTGGATTACTCTTGGCTTCCCTAGGGTCGTACTTTGTGCATTCCATGTTGCAAGTATTAACAGATGTTTGCAGTAGTTTCTTGTTGTTCTGGGTCATGCCGCATCAGAAATTAGAGCTCCCGAAAGCTTTGTTCTCGTTACGTCTTTAAGCTTGAGTCTACTTTGAGGAGATATCTTTTCCCAAGTTGTATCTTAAGTGCCTTCCGACCTGAGGGGCTCATCTCCTGGCTCCTGCTAGTAGGGCATGTTCTCACCACTTAGTTCTTCCGAAATGGATGCTGCTGCACAAACAGCACAACTTACATCGCTTAATGTATGAGGGGGATTAACAGATCATGGGATTCGCCCACAAGAAACCTCCTCATGTGAATTATGTCAGAGCTTTGGGAACTACTCTGGAATTATCTTCAAATAATTTAAGTAAAAAATAATAATAAAATGCAGGACACAAGTAATTTTTTCTGTATGCGATTGTGGTGGTGGTGGTTCTGTGAATGTGTAAATTATCTTGAGGGATGCTTCGGCTCTGAACAGACAGACAGCCAAGGAGAGGTCTCACGAAGAATGTAATTCCGGGCAACATTAGTGCTGAGCAAAAGTACATGGTGAGGAATCTCTCACTAGCTAGAGTGTTCCTGGATTGTTTAGTCTTGCTAAATTGAAGGATGCGTACAGCACACAGAACAAAGGCACACAGTGGATTTCCTTGCTGGACAGGTTAAAGATAAACGCTTTGTTATCTAGTCAGTGAAGCCATTCAAGCTATTTGATCCGAGTTCTACCTTTGAGGTATTATTTTATAAAAACGATTAGTAAGTAAGTTGGAGACCAGTTAAAAGGCTGCTAAGTTAGTTCAATCAGGTGAAAGTCATGAAGGAATACAGGTAGAGGAAAGGAGCCCTGGTGGCGTCGTGGACTATGTACTGAGCTGCTAACCTCAGGGTCAGAGGTTCAAACCCACCAGCTGCTCTCCAGGAGAGAGCCATCTGCTCTAAAGCCCGAAGGCAGTGAGTTTGAGATACGGGGTGGAGGTAGGAGTGAGAAGGGAACAAATGGTAATGACTGTGATCAAATGATCTCCTGGAGAACTGGACGGAGAGAAAGAAAAATCAAAGCGTTGACGCTTGAATTTTGAGCCTAATAACAGGAACGATCATAGTACTAGTAAGGAAAAAGCAAACACCCCAAACTCACTACCATTGAGCCCATTTAGTCTCATAAGGACCCCATAAAACAGGGTGGAACCTGTGGGTTTCCAAGACTGCCACTCCTCATCTTTCTCCAGAGGGGCAGCCCAACGGGTGAAGAGAAAAGTCAAGAAAATCTGAGAATTTAGTTGAGGAGAGTTGATAGGTGTGGTTTGGATGGAGTTTGTTGCCTCTGAGGAGCTCTCGATAAGCGGAGGAGCGCATGGCAGAGCAAACAGTGCCTGCGGACCAAGCCACCAGGAAGCCACTCCTGGCTCTGCTGAACTCCTCCGGGCTGGTTTCCTCGGCTGTCAGCCGAGAGCCTTGGACTGGAGAGGCAGTGATTGAGAGCAAAGATGTAGGAGCCAGACTTGCCTCCGTTCTGCTGCTCACTAGCCTTTCTTCCCCAGACAAACTCTGTACTCTCTCTGGGAATACGTTTTGTAAAATGGGCATAATAATTACATACGTAACCTAATAGGGTTTCCGTGAGGAATGTACATATCCATATGCAGATCTTCAGACAGCTCCTACTTGGGACAGTGCTTGGTGCACAGTAAGTGGAGTCCCTTGCCGAGCTCATGGTCCACTGTCGTGTGGTAAATTTTTGGGAGACTGGCATTCTGTGGCAGGGGTCGGGCCAAAGATAGAAGTTAATCATTTATCTTATTGGTTATTATTGAATAGGTGGAAGAGGACGTATGAATGACAGGGACCAAATGTTGAGACATCCTTCTGTTTGGGAGCAAAGGGCAGGAGTGTAAAGAAGGGGCCAATGAAGGCACGTTCAGAGGAAGAGAAGGGAAACGCAGAGACACTCAAGAAAGCCAAGTGTAGAAAAGGCCAGGTCTAGGGAGGGTAGTCTTTCACAATGGGATGCTGAGCTAAGTTTGAGCGGTTATGGGAAATAGCTGAAGGAGAGAGAACAGTTGAAGATAAAAGCAAAGGAAATGAATTGGGGGAGCATGGTTTTGCAAGGATTTAAGTAGCATATGAGCTTCAAGAGGAAGGAAGATAACTTCTTTCTTTGAAATGGGATAAAAGAAATCAATGATATATGATGATGCAATCAAATTTTTAGTTTGGAAATTAAGGAAGCGCATGTTAGAGGTCTTCAAATTTTAACATACAATAGGGTTAGCAAGGTCATCTGTATAGAGAGCGCAAAGTAGAGGACAGAATTGAAGAGTGGGCTTTACTCTAATTCTGTCCTCTCTGAATGGAAAACCAATGATCTGGTTCAGCAATAATAACTAATATTTACTTAGCTCGTACCATCTGCCAATTATGATGCCAAAGGTTTCTTGCAAGCCCAAAGCATCCCTTGGAGGCAAGTAGTATTAGGCGTATTACCCACATGAACAGAGAAAGGGTAGGAAGAAAATAACTTTGTTACCCAGCAAATAGGACATTGAAACCAAAATCAAAAACCGTATCTGCTTAACTCTAAGCTCTTAACGATCAGTCTTTCTGACATTGCATTTTGAAATTTCATTAAATCACAGAAATGTTGGTTCAGGAACATACATGAATTAATGAGACAGGATATAAGATACAGACAAACAGCTCTCATAGACAGTAAAATTTAAATGCAACGCAGTTTACATTTTAACTAAATTGAGGAGAGATGGATTGTTTAATAGATATACTAAGAGCAATTAACTGTTCATTTGGAAAAAAAATTTTTGACCTCATATTTACAAATATACATTATAGAAATTAGAACAGTGCTTGTCTATGTCAGGGGAGGTCTGACTGAAAAGCACAGAGAACTTGAAATAATAGTAATGCCCTATAATTTGTTGGAATATTGATTACATGAATCTACTTATTTGTTAAAACTCATTGATTTGCACATATAAAATCTGTATGTTCTACCATATGTAATTATTGTCTTAATCAAGAAGGAAAAAAACAATATGTAGATCTCCAAGATATTGTTAAATGGGGAGGGGAGAGAAGATATAGAGTGAAACATAAAATATACCTTTATTAGATAAAGAAATGATTACAACTATGCAATTATACATTGTGCTTTCATAAACCCATATGTCTATAAATGCACCATGGGCCTTTGGTCCCATTCCAATGACCTGTTGGCATAGTAGTTTTGAAACCAGTGAAAGGAAGCTTCACCTACTGGAGCGCTCACTAACCTGGAGTCACTCAGCGGATCTGAGGTTTCTTCGGACTCCGCCATGGACCACATGGGTCACTGGAACAACAAGGCGTTTAATTGCTGTGGCTAAATCAATGGACCGATGACTGAGAGTTCTTCCAGGCCCAAGATTCCGTGAACCCTGTTAATTCACATGACTCGATAGAAATAGGCCACTCAGCCAACTATATATATAGAGAAAGACCATATGAAAGGATCTGAATTGAAATTTTGAGTTTAAGCTCAATAACTAAAATGTTTTTAATATTTTGAAACAGGTAACAACTAAAGCTAAGCAACTAAAGGACTCCGTAGCCTGCTCCCCAGGTGAGTTCGCGACCGGTGTATTGCACTAATCTGAAGAGTTTCTTAAAAATAAATATCTTTTTACAATAACTTCCTTAAAGACAATGGTATAGAATAGTTTTTCCCGGTGAATTATACTGGCCCTATCCCTAAAAGTGTTAAACTACAGGCAATAGCTAAGCCAATCCAACCTTGCACACAAAGTAGATGCTAAGAAGATGTATCTAATTAGCTGAAAGTACAACTTAAATGTCCATCAGTGGTCCATCAGTGGTCCAATGGATAAACTGTGGTGCATACAAACAATGGATTAGTACGCAACAATGAAAGGTAATGTTGAATCCACAAAGCACCTCCCAGCATGCATGAATATGAAAGACATTCTGCTGAGTGAAACAAGTCAATCACAAAAGGACAAACATGAGACTGCGATTATCAAAAGCCAAGAGTAGGCTTATACACAGGAAGAAATATTCCATAACAGCAAGGAGGAATGGTCTAAGGAGGGGAAATCACTATCTAGATTGTACTCAAGTTTTTGTTGTTGTTTTTAAAATCATTTTATTGGGGGCTCGTACAAGTCATCACAATCTATACATACATCCATTGTGTTGAGCACATTTGTACATATGTTGCCATCATCATTCTCAAAACATTTTCTTTCTACTTGAGCCCTTGGTATCTGCTCCTCATTTTTCCCCTTCCTCCCCTGCCCTTCTTCCCTTCTGAACCCTTGATAATTTATAACTTATTATTTTTTCATGTCTTACACTGTCCAACGTCTCCTTTCACCCACTTTTCTGTTGTACGTCCCCCAGGGAGGGGGTTATATGTAGATCATTGTGATCCATTCCTCCTCCCCCCCACCCAACTTTCCCTTACCTCCCTGATATCACTACTCTCATTATTGGTCCTGAGGGGTTTATCTGGTGTTTCCAGGTCTTATTTGTACCAGTGTACATCCTCTGGTCTAGCTGAATTTGTAAGGTAGAATTAGGATCATAATAGTGGGGGTGGGGTGGGATAGGGGGAGCATTAAAGAACTAGAAGAAAGTTGTGTTTCATTGGTGCTATACTGTACCCTGACTGACTCGCCTCCTCCCCTCGACCCTTCTGTAAGGAGATGTCCAGTTGCCTACAGATGGGCTTTCGGTCTCCACTCCACACTGTCCCTAATTCACAATGATACGGTTTTTTTGTTCTTTGATGCCTGGTACCTGGTCCTATTGATACCTCATGATCACGCAGGCTGGTGTGCTTCTTCCATGTGGGCTTTGTTAGTTCTCAGCTAGATGGCTGCTTGTTTATCTTCAAGTCTTTAAGACCCCAGATGCTGTATCTTTTGATAGCCAGGCACCATCAGCTTCCTTCACCACATTTGCTAATGCACTGCTTTGTCTTCAGTGATCCTGTCAGGAAGACGAGCATCATTGAATGCCAGGTTAAAAAAAAACAACGTTCTTGCATTGAGGGAGTACTTGAGTGGAGGCCCAATGTCCATCTGCTACCTTAACACTAAACCTATAAATAGATGCACACAGATCTACTTCCCCATCATATATAAATATATTTACTATGTACATACCTTTATTTAGACCTTTATAAATGCCCTTTGCCTCCTAGTTCTTTCCTCTATTTTCTTTTACTTTCCTCTTGTCCCACTATCATGTTCAGCCTTCATTGGGTTTCAGTCATTCCTCTTGGTTACATTGCCCTTGATCAAGCCCTACCAGGCCTACACCCACCTCACCACCAATTTTAGATCACTTGTTCTCTTGTCCCCAAGTCTCTTAACACCCACTTCCTTCCTCCCCCCCCCCTCCCATGTCCCTGTGGAACCGTTGGTTCTATTGTTTTCTCCTCCAGATTGTTTATCCCGCCTATTTTATCTAGATAGACCTGCAGAGATAATAATATGCACACAAAAAAAGACAGAGCAAAACAAAGCAACAAAAGAAAACAAAACAGCGACAGAAAAAAAAGAAAAACCTGTAAATAGTTCAAGGTCTGTTGGTCAACCTTTAGGAGTGTTTTCTGGTGGAGTCTGATGGAGTGCCACACCCTGGCCCCAAAGTCTATATTTGGTGTTCCCTGGGGACTCTGTTGCTCTGCTCCCCTTGCTGTTCTGTTGCACACCCTTAGTGTTTCCCCTCTGTGTGGTGGGGTCAGATCCGGTGCAATTCCCACATTGTGCCTCCAGTGTTGTCCCTCGTAGCACTATGGGTCAGTGAGGGACATTTTGTCTTATAGTGGTGCTGGCCCTAGTGGTCCTCTCTGTGCATTGGCTGCTCTGATCAGGAATATCGTCCTCAGGGCTTGGTGGGCTAGGATGTGCTCCACTCTCTCTTCCTCTCCCTTCATTTGCTTCTGTGTGCTCTGATCAAGTACTCAAGTTTTAATTCTGGTGAAGGGACATGTCAATACAGTATGAAAGATGTCAGCACAATATGACCAAGGTAAAGAAAGACAGCCACAGCATAAAAATCATGGAGAGATTACTGAAGAGATGGGTGCTATATCAAAGTGTGGTGGAAAAACTAGATGATGCCCGACTATCAGAATAGGGTCTGAGGTCTTAAAGACTGTCTTCAAACAAGCAAGCCATCTAAGTGAGGCATCAATTACGTCCACATGGAAGCAGTACACATGCCTGTGTGATCCAAAGGAAAGGGGAAATATATGTGAATTACGCCTCTGGTAAGTCCCCCCTAACCATAGACCCAGGGACGTGAATAGCCTTGCAGTCAGGCAGAGTGCACTGGAAAGTAGATTATTGAAGATGCAATTATTAACACTCTATCATTTGATTGCATTTTAAATTTTGACCCATTTAAAATTTGTTCCAAAAAATTAAAATTAAAAAAACATTGTTCTATTTTTTAATATGTTCTTTTTTGTTGTTGTTGTTTGGTGTATATATAGGTTTTTGTTTTAGTTATTTTTTAATTATACCATGTTATTGGCATATATTTCACATATCATACAATTCAATAATTCAATTATAGTAATGAGTCGTACAATCATCTCCACAATCAAGCTTAGAACATTTACCATATATACTCATGTTTATAAGCTGAATATTTCAGCACATTTTTTTCTTTTTTTTAAATTAAATCATTTTATTGGGGGTAAACAATCATTTTATTGGGGGCTTACAACTCTTAGAACAATCCACACATATATCCATTGTGTCAAGCACTTTTGTACATTTGTTTCCCACATCATTCTCAAAATATTTGTTTTCTACTTGAGCCCCTGGTATTCGCTCCTCATTTTCCCCCTTCCTCCTTGCTCCCCCCTCTCCCATGAACCCTTGATAATTTATAAATTATTATTTTTTCATATCTTACATTGTCCAACATTTCCCTTCACCCACTTCTCCGCTCTCCGTCCCCCAGGGAGGAGGTTTTATGTAGATCCTTATAATCTGTTCCCCCTTTCTCCCTTACCTTCCCTCCACCCTCAAGTTCAGCACATTTTTAATGCAGTTTTTGTGGTAAAAGTAAGCGCCTTGGCTGATATTCAGGTGGGCTTATACTCGAGTACATATGGTACTTCTTTCTTGCACTCCCTGTCACCAGCTCCCCACCTTCAGCAGCCTTCCCTGCCATGCAGTCCTCTCTATAGCTCTACCCATCCTGGTTTCTTATACCCAAACAAAATGCAGAAAAAACAAAAACCACTGCACTCCGGCTATTCAGAGGCTTCTTCCTGGGTGGACCCTGTGCATGGACTTTGGGCTCCCACTGTCCCGCTTGGCTCCATAGCCTTCTGAAAATTAGGTGTTCAAAATTCATCGGCTTTATTTATCTTTTTTTTAAACCCGGCCTGGAGAGAGAAGCTCTTTGGGATGTGGGGGAATCATCAGCTTTATTTTTTACTGAGGTTTACTTTGTTCTTGTGCTGAGTGTTTTGTTTGTCTGTTGGTCTTGAGCGTGCTTTCCTGTCTGGGAACTCCAGGAGAGGGAATCTATAAAGACAGTAACTGGTCGAATGGTTTCCTGATGTTATGGCAGGGGGACTGGGGAAATGGGGCACTAATAACTATGAGTACCAGAAAGAGTAAAGGTTCTAAAATTGGGGTGATGATTGTACAATTCTTAATATGATTGAACTAATAAATTGTATATGTGAATTATAAACCAATAAAGTTGGGTTTTTTTTTAAAAAGCTACTATGGTAAATGCTATGAGCAGCCCTGTGGCATAGTGGTTACTTGTTGGGCTGTGACCCACATGTTCGGCAGTTTGAAACCACCAGCAGCTCCAAAGGAGAACGACTAGGCTTTCTCCTCCCCACACAGTTACAGTCTCAGAAACCGTCAGGGGTCGCTATGAGTCACCATTGAGTCTGTGACAGTGCGTCTGGTAAATAATAGAGCATACAACAATTCAAAAACTGATAATAACTTGAGTAGACACACAGGTAAATGAGTATACAAAATAGGTAAGAACGAGGTTGTATGTACATATGTAAGTAAGGTCTGGGATATTTTTACAATACCTGTCCTTTTGTGATTAACTGACTTCACTCAGCTAGTAGTTTCCAGGTCCTTCCGTGTCAAGCATTGGTCCGTGCTTTCATGACTTTTTTAGGGATGCATGTACCATAGTTTCTTTATCCGTTCTTCCACTGGTGGGCATTTTGGCTGCTTCCAATTTCTTGCTATTGTGAACTGTGCTGCTGTGAACATGGGAGAGCACACCTCCACTTGTGTAGTATCTTTTATTTCTTTAAGGTTTATGCTTAATGGTTTCACTGGATCATACGGGATTTCAATTCCCCATTGCTTTAACTATCGCCATGTCGTTTTCCACGGTGGCTGTACGTATTTGCAAGTCGAGTTCGGATAGTTTTACGCGCATATCTTAAATGTATACCTACACTAAAGTGATTCCAAAAGGGTTCCATTCATAATGCATGGGTTTATTCCCAACAAAACCTGTGTAAACATGTCTCTGCCTTCAGACAGCTTTTCTTACCTTAATCTCATTAAGGAACCTTTGAGGACATTTTCTACC